TCCAGGGGTCTCTGGAGGTCCCTGGCTGCCATGAGAAAGAGTGCAGGAGGATCGAGGAGGGAAAAGTCCTCCAACACCTCAACGATCAGCCATGACTGGGGGAGCTGCGGTCCTCACACTCCTGGGGGAGCCCACCACATCGATGACTCCTCGATGGGGGCCAGAACCGATGGGTTCACCAAAGGGAAGGGTGCAAAGACCACACACACACACACCAGCCGTTGATGGACTGATTCGCTGACTACCCTCGTTTCGAGAAGGAGATCGGTTGCAGAATCGATGTGCCCAAAAATTTGCCCCAAATTTCGCAGATCTGAAAACATTATACGCTTGGTTCGTGGACTCTACGAGGAAAACAATGTTGGGGCAATTCTATTATGTAGTCGATCTCCAACTCGATGCTTGGCTCTTTGGGAGAGTAGCATCTTCGACGCACGTTTCGTAGATTGGACACCAAAGTAACTTCGGGGTAATGCGCTTCTGTGGTCGAGCTCCCACCTCGACTCTTCGCTCCCCGGAGCCGGCAGCGCATCTCGAGGGTACGGCCTACGCGCGCGCGCGCGGCCGCGCCGCTCCGAGGCCCCCGCTCCGGGGGTAGACCTGGGGCTCCTCCACCTGCAGCGTCACCTGCGGGGCGGCAGTCGTCCTCGCGCCGTCGTCCCTGGGAGGCACGCGGACGTGCCAGTGCTACATGTCGAAGCTGATAGCAAGGCTATATAACACTTTTCGAGCGGGGCGCGGCCAGCGGCACGGCCAGGAAGCGTCCGCCGTGGAGCATGTGCCCTCGGCGCGCGCGCGTCGCCCCTTCGGGGGCGCCGCACGCTCAGTATCAGTCAGTATGTTTGGGTGGCGCCAGTTCTGGGCGCTTTGGGGGTCTCGAGAGGCGCCCTCGCCGCCACGGCCAGGTCGGCCTCGAAATCCGGGAGACAGAATCTGTTCATTCGCGGTGAGGACGGGCGTCATGGGAGTGGAGGGGGGGAGAAAGGGGGGAGCATAACGTGACGACCCAACCCCGCCGTGTGGGTCTGGCACCACAGACTGTGGTGCTGGACGTATCGCGGCAGTGCTGGGGATGCACTGGGGGGGGGCGTTACGTTATGGGGGGTAAGGGGAGGGAGGGAGGGAGACAGGGGTAGAAAAATCAATGCGACACCATGAGATAGGAAAGGTGCTTTCTCGCTAGCCTCGCTCGACGATTTGGTCACTCAGAAGTGTGAGAGCACCCGCGAAAACGCCTGAGCCCCGAGCATCAGAGGCTACCGCACAGAGAATGGCACCATCCATCTTCGGAAACCCGTCGCTTTGTCCGCCCAAGCCATAGTCAACTCGTATTATACGGACGCACGATATGGATGCAAGGGCCTTGGAGGTCATGACGACACTTTGCGGGCGAGGCGCGGCTAGCGAAAGCGGCCAAGGATGGGCCGAAAGGGAAGGATGCAAGGGTAACCTTGTGAAGTCGTTCATCGTTACTGTGCGGGTTGACTGTAGGGGGACATGACGCGCGGTATGGCCCTCGAGAAAAAAAAAAAAAAAAAAAAAACACTCCAGTGCGCTCCAGGAGAGGTCTGGGATCGATCGGTCGTCGGCGGCGGCCGGCGGGAGGCCGGCGCTGCGGCGCGCGTCGCCCGCGGAGAGGGCAGGTCGGGGGGTGCTGCGGCCCCGGCGACACGCGGCGTCCTGCAGGCGCAGAGCGCGTCGCTCCGCCCCGCGGGGCGGGAGGCCGGGAGAGGGGCTCGGGGGCGTGGAACCCCGAGGGCCAGGCCGTGGATGGGGCGTCGCGCCGACGCGCGGTGGGCCAGGACCGGTGGCGCGACACGCTGGGCCAAAGTTCCAGCACGCAGGCGTCTGTGGCCCAAGATGGGCCACCGCTTCCGGGGGCATCTTGGATCCTCTCTGGGGCCCTCTGGTCCTCCTCTGGGGCAACGCCCAAGCCGAGGGGGGTAGGCCATGGGGGAGACCGACGCCGACGAGGGCCGCAGGCAGGGAGAGAGGGCGGCAAAGAGAGAAAGGGAGAGAGAGAGAGCGACAGAACAAAAAAGGAGAGGGACAGAGGGACAGAGAGAGAGAGAGCGACAGAACAAAAAAAAAAAAAAAAAATGATAGCGAGAGAGAGAGAGAGAGAGCGACAGAACAAAAAAAGGGGAGAGAGAGAGAGAGAGAGCGATACAAATAAAAAGAGAGAGGTAGGAAGAGCGACAGAAAAAAGAGAGATGAAGAGAGAGAAAGAAGGGGAACGAGAGAGAGAGAGAGACAGAGAGGCCGAGACATTTTGATATATCTATAGAGAGAGAGAGCGCGACAGCATAAAAGCGAGAGGGAAAGAGAGCGACTAAACAACAAAAAAGATGAGAGAGAGAGAGAGCCAGCAAAAGGTGGGGAGGGAGAGAACCAAAAAAACGACTGGAACATAAAGTGGGAGAGAGAGAGAGAGAGAGAAAAAAAAAAAAAAAAAAAAAAAAAAAGAGAGAGAGAGAGAGCGACAGAACACAAAAGAAGGGAGAGAGAGAGAGAGAGCCATAACAAAAATAGGGAGAGAGAGAGAGAGAGAGCGACATAACGAAAAAAGAGAGAGAGAGACAGAGAGAGAGAGAGAGAGAGAGAAAAAAAAAAAAAATGCGGCAGCGGCGCCGCCGTGTCAGACCGCCCGTCCGCCACCTCCCGCGGGCCTTGTCGCCGACGCAGATCACGCCCCTCGACTGGCCCAGCTCCTGCTTGGCGGCGCCGTGCAGCAGGACGTAGTCGCGGTCGCGGAGAGTGGCGCTCAGGAGAACCTCTGGAGGGAAGGAACACACTGACCATCACCAAAATGTCGCGGGATCACGTCGACGCCGATCTTGGTCATGCTCCATGCTGGCCGTCGCCGATTCGCGAAAATGATCGACGAACCGACGCTGACCAAGACAGATGGTGAACAATGTCGACACGACGTGGAGGGATGCGCAGAAGGCGCCTGTACACCGCCACCGCCCTGACCGGCAAGGGCCGTCCTGGGCCCTCGCACGGTGCCCCTTTGGCCGATGCCAGCAGGGTCTGCACACCATCCCGAGGCCCCAGTGGCCATGGGCCCTGGCCAGGCACGTTGGTGCATAGGCATAGGCCCCCGCTGCGGAGAGGAGAGGAGAGAGAGGGGGGGGCGCAGGGCGGAGAACGAGGACGAGGACGAGGACGAGGAGCCACGGGGACGAGAAGGGCCGGGAGGAAGGGAAGCGGGAGGCCGACGAGGCCGAGAAGGAAAGCCGCGCGGCGCGAGCCGCGGGCTCTCCGAGCCTCGCGCGACCTCGGTGCGCCGGAGAAGCAGCTGCGCTCGACCGCCGTGCGGACGGCCAGGCAGGGCTCGCCGTGCGGACGGCCAGGCAGGGCTCGTCTGGCCGTGTCCCCCGCGAGGCGTGCATCCTTCGGGGAGACGTAAGACCCGGGTACGGGGGACTCGGAAATCCCCGACGAGGTCGTCAACAAAAATGACGAGGCCGAGCCTGCATTTTGACGAGGCCTCCCGCTGCAGACATCCCACGAAACTCCTCCTCGTCAAAATCCGAGTCGCGGTCGTCAAAAAACGATGGCGAACCCGAGTCCCGGCAAACCCGGGTCTTACGCTCCCCCGAATCCTGACCAAGCCTGGGCCAGCCTGTCCGTTTGCCATCCTCGACCTCCTCCTCCATCCCTTCTCACAAGTTGGCCAGCGCAAGGGGCCAGAGGCGTGCCAAAATCTCGCGCAAGAGTATCAGAATGTTTCTAGTTCGCGGTGACGGCCCCTGGGGGTCCCGAGACGACAAATACTCTGGCAAGGTCCCGGCAAGGTCCCGGCAGGTCCTTGCAGGGTCCCGGCAGGATCGGGTCAGAGATGCGGAACTCCTGGGCGCGGCCTCGGGGGCCCCCGGAGCGCCGCAATGAGGCACCAAATTGGTGGCAGGCCCTACGGCCTCAGGCCAAGAGCGTTCCAAGATGGCCCACGTTGGTCCCAAGACGGCCCAAGAAATGCCGAAGACGCTCCAGGAGGGTTTCAAGAGGATTTCGAGGGGCCCCGAAAACGCAAAAACAGGTGATCTGAGGTAGGTTTTCAAACGATTTTGGCGGCACCGCATTTCGAGCTGCTGACCACCCCAGAAGCCCCAAAATCGCTCCAAGATGGCCTAAAAAGCCTCCAAGAGGATCCCCAAATGGCCCAAAATAGCCCTAAGACCCCCAGAGGCCCCAAAGAGCCCCCCAAGAGGCCCCAGGAGGCCCCCAAATCCCCGACAGGACCCCAGGAAGCAACAACAGGTTCCCCAGAAGCCCCCGAGAGGCTCCCCGAAAGCTTCAAAACTGGTCCCCAGAGGCTCCCGAGAGCCCTCCGAACAGATCCCAAGAAATCCATGCGGACTCTGACGGAGAACCTGGGTACGTCTCGAAACTCTGCTAGAGCTTTCTTGAGCCATCTTGGCGCCCTCTGGGGCAGCCTGTCGGCTCTCTCGACAGGGTGGGAGCCACATCTCTAAAGATCTCCTAGAGGACATTGATGCCTACCTACCTTTCCCACTGGGCACGAGCCCACCACCACGCAGCCACAGTGATGCGAAACGGGCTGGCGGAATGAGCAAAGCGATTAAGAAACTCCTAACCCACCGGATTCTGACGATTCTGTCCTTATCGGGCTGTTCCTGGCGCCTCTCTTCGAGCTCCCGTGTATCTCCGCGGGCTCTTGCGGCCACCTTGGAACACGCGGATGCTCCTGCGGCTGTGTGGACAGCCTCTCGGGGCCCTTCTCGGCCGTCTGGACACCTCTTTGGCGCTGTCCTGAGCGGTATTGGGCGCGCCCAGAGGGTCCTTGGAGGCCCTTTAAGGCCCCAAAACTAACTGGCAATGCTCCTTTCTGCCTTTCTGTATCCCTCTTCGGTTTCTTGCGCATTGTTCCACAACCTTTGGGTGCCCTTTGGGGCTGTTTTCGCAGCCTCTTAGGGCCCTCTTCGGCATGTTTCTGGCGTCTTTGGAAGCCCTCTGGAGCAGTCTTCCACCCCCTTCTCGCCCTCTGGGATCTCACCCTCTGGGATCATTTCAGTTGTCCCCCTGTTCCCTCCACCCACCCTCCCAAAGTCTCCACTTCACTTCCGAAAATCCACGATCCAAGAGGTGGGGCGGCGGTGTCGGCCCTCTTATGCGTCGAATTAAATAACTCCTCCCAATCACACCACCAAACGTGTCGGTATGGCGGTCGGGGCGTTTCACCTGAGCCTTCCTCGGCGGGCCGTTTTCACAATGTGGCTCTCGCGATAGCGCCGCACACATTCGTTCTGAGAGTCTGCAACAATCTCACGGATGGCAATCGATTCGTTTTCCCAATGTGGCTCTCGCCTTGGCACCGCGCATATTCGCAGTATCGTTCAAAAACTTCGTGGCAAGGATGGCGAACAAGTGGCTTCCACAGAATACTTATCGCCTTAGCGCCGCACACATTCGTCTTAAAACATTGCAACCGTTTCAAAGAACCGCATCGCTGAAGTCCCAGGAAAGGCGTTATGATACGATTTAGGGTTACCAGGGCGCAACGGCCACGTTGACTCACGGTGTTGAAGTCTCAGGGATGACGTTCTCGCAAGATTTAGGACTGCATCATCGTCGTCATCATCATCAGCAGCAGCATCAGCATCATCATCAGCATCAGCAGCATCATCATCACCCCCACCATCATCACCATCAGCAGCAGCATCATCATCATCATCATCATCATCATCATCATCATCATCATCATCGTCATCGTCACCATCACCATCACCCCCATCATCAACATCATCATCATCATCACCATCATCATCATCATCATCATCATCATCATCACCATCATCATCATCATCATCATCAGCATCATAATCACCACCATCAGTATCATCAGCATCATCACCGTCATCATCATCAGCATCATCATCATCATCGGCATCATTGTATGCGTCGTTGTCGTTATCATTGTCCTCATCATCATCATCATCATCATCATCATCATCATCATCATCATCACCATCACCATCACCATCACCATCACCATCATCATCATCGTCATCATCACCACCATCATCACCATCAGCAGCATCATTATCATCAGCATCATCGTCATCAGCATCATCATCATCGCCATCATCGCCATCATCGCCATCATCGTCATCATCATCATCATCATCATCATCATCATCATCAGCATCACCATCACCATCATCATCATCCTCATCATCATCATCGTCATCATCATCATCATCATCATCATCATCGGCATCATCGTATTCGTCGTTGTCGTTATCATCGTCCTCATCATCATCATCAACATCATCATCACCATCACCATCATCGTCATCATCACCACCATCATAACCATCAGCAGCATCATTATCATCAGCATCATCGTCATCAGCATCATCATCATCGTCATCATCGCCATCATCGCCATCATCGTCATCATCATCATCATCATCATCATCATCGGCAGCATCATCATCGGCAGCATCACCTTCATCGTCGCCATCATCATATCATGACCATCATCATCAGAATCAGAATCACCATCATCATCAATAATATCAGCCGCGGTCGCCAAAGCATCAGCATCATCATCAACAATAAAATCAGCATCGCCATCATCAGCATCACCATCACCATCACCATCATCATCACCATCACAAGCATCGAGACCATCATCATCATCGTCGTCATTTCCATCATCGTCATCATCATCAGCAGTACCATCATCATCACCATCGCCATGACCATCGCCATGACCATCACTATCACCATCAGCATCATCATCAGCATCATCACCATCACCATCATCAGCATCATCATGAACACCATCATCCTCATCCGCATCATCACCATCGCCGTCATCATCATCATCATCATCATCATCATCATCATCATCATCATCATCATCATCATCATTATCGCAATCATCGCCATCATCTTCAGCATCGTCCCCATCATCGGCAGTATCATCTCCATCGTCGTCGGCATCGTTGTCATCAGCAGCGTCATCCTCATCACCAACACCGTCACAATCAACGTCATCGTCATCATCATCAACGTCATCATCAGCATCATCAGCATCATCGCCGTCATCGCCAGCATCACCATCACAATCACCATCACCGTCACCATCATCATTATCATCATTAGCATCAGCATCATCATCATCATCACCATCACCGTCATCATGACCATCAGCATCATCCTCATTACGGCATCATCATGATAATTCGCATCATCATCATGATGATGATCATCATCGCCATCATCGCCATAATCGTCCTCATCGTCATCATCAGTATCGTCATCGGCAGCATTATCTTCTTCGTCGTCGTCATCATTATCAGCATCATCATCCTAGTCACCATCACCATCACCATCATCGTCATCGTCATCATCATCCGCACCATTACCATCGCCATCGTCGCCGTCATCGTCATCATCGTCATTACCATCAGCAGCAACATCTTCTTCGTCGTCATCACCATCACTATCACCATCACCATCACCATCACCATCACTATCATCATCATCACCGTAATCGTCATCATCATCATCATCATCATCATCATCATCATCGTCCGCATCATCATCATCGCCATCATCGCCATCATCGTCCTCATCGTCATCATCGGCAGCATCAGCTTCGTCGTCATCAGAATCATCACCACCATCACCATCACCATCACCATCACCATCACCATCACCATCACCATCACCATCACCATCATCATCATCATCATCATCATCATCACCATCATCATCATCATCATCATCATCATCATTCATCATGGGGGGGACACCCTGGCCAGGCCTGGGCAGCCCTGTCCAGTCTCATCGCCAGCGCAGCCTCCCCAGAGCAGCGAGGTCGCGAGAGGTGCGCAGACACGCTGCGCGACCGCGCGATCTGGTCAGAGATTGCTGCAGTGCTGGAAAGCGTCTGCACAGTGTGAGGGCACAGCTGCTCTGGCTGCCCCCGTTTTGTCGGCCGAATGGCGAGGGAGTGGGGTGGGGGGTCCAGGTCTGGGCCCCTGCTTCGTCGATCTGCGTTTACCACTTGCGCCAGCAGACTGGGGGTGGCGGTCTGGACCAGTCGCCAAAAGCATCCGCCAAGAGCAGCCAAAGTCTGGTCTATGGAAAGGGGGGGAGGCGGGAGAGGGGGAGGCCAGGGGGCCCGCGCCGATCAGCGAAACAATACCTACAAAAACTGCCATTACATGAGCGTTTCGCAAGGCTGCTCTGAAATGCCCCCCACCCTCACTGGGGCCAAACAACTGGGACCCTGCAAGAAGGGGAGGGCGCTGCAGGCTGCTGGATGAGGCCCCGCGACACGCATGCCATGGTCCGCCGAACGCCTCCGAGCACCGGGGGCCAAGGAGGAGGGGGGGCGTTCTTTGGAGGAGTGGGAGGACAGAGAAGGAGAAAGAAGCACAGGAGGAGGGAAGAGGGCGAGGAGAGGAGAGGAGCTGAGGAGGAGGCGGGAAGAAGACATGGGGCACGCGATGCCGCCCAAGGGCGGCATGCGCGGGAGCGAGCGCGCGCGGACGGCCAGAGAGGAGGAGGAGCCTCGCAGGCCTTGTCGGTCACGCTGCTCTCGCCAGTCGTCAGGTTGTAGGTGGCCTCCAAGCTCACTCCACGGCACACTCCCCGCTCCTCCTCATCCTCCTCCCTCCTCATACTCCTCGTCCTCCTCATCCTCCTCTTCGACCTCCCCGTTCAATCATGGAGCAGGGGATCAGATTGTGCCCCACTTGGCCTCGAGCTCGTCCACTGGGTTCAGGCCGACACGCCTGGGATGCAGGTGGGCCACACGCGTCATCTAATGTTTCCCGGTCTAACGCCACAACCTGCACCTCCTCTTTCTTACACATCGCATCTTCCGCACTAACTCTCTCTCTCTCTCTCTTTCTCTCTCCCTATCGCGACAAAGACTGCGCCTGAGAGTGTGCACCACCGATTCCCAATATGTCCGTCTCTTGATCCATCTCGCCGTCCGTCTTCACCGCTCTCTCTCTCTCTCTCTCTCGCCCCCTGTCTCTCTCTCTCTCTCTCTGTCTCTGTTTTGTTTTTTCTATACATATATATATATATGTGTGTGCGTGCGAATGTATGTGTACCTCTCTCTTTCTCTGTAGCTTTCGTGTTTCTGTATGTGTCCATCTCTGCATGCTCTGACTATGTGCCTGTCCACGTGGCTGTACGTTTGCCTGTGCTCACGCGGATGCGCCTGAAGATTCGCTTGTGCCTGAAATGACGTATGCGCACGCACCTCGATCTCAGCTACTCGTTCTTGCTTGCCATGATGTGTTGCGCGCTCTCGCCTTCGATCCAAAAACTCGTGATTACAAGCCTTCACCCAAGACAGACTAACACCCGCCCAGGGCAGATCTAAGACAGCTGGAGGGCTTTGTTCGATCTCACCCTGACCGAGGCGAGACCACCCAAGACAGCTCCGCGACCCCTCACGAGCTCCCAACGTGCTCCCAGGAGGGCCAGAAGGCTCACGTGAGGCCCCCGGCTAACCCTGGAGAGACCTGAAGTATCGAAAGCGGTTTAGCGATCGTGTTGATATGCGATTGAGATACCAACTGGCCTCGAGACGGAGTCCGAGCGGCTCCCGGCTGCATCCCATCGGACCCCGAGGTCCCTCGAGCGACTCCCAAACGTGCCCAACAGCGTCTCCGAGGTTGACCAGGCTCCAAGACAGGCCGAAGGCCCTGCCAGATGGCCGCGAGACCCTCTCAGACAGGCCCAATGCTCATGTCAAGAAGCCCCCACATGGGCCTCCAAAAAGCTCCCAGCAAGACCACAACCACCAAAACCATCCCGCTAATACGGTTGTGTGTTCCCATTCTCCCTCACTCACCCTCCCCTCTAACATCCCATTCCCTCCGCTCCCTTTCATCCTCCCTGTCCAAGCCGCAGATCCGCAAACATGGCCACCTGTTATCCTTGGTGTGGTCGACAACCATCTCGTCTAGCGAGAAGCGGCCGTGGAATACAGGCACGAAGTCTGGCAGGGACCGCACAAAAGTACACTGCCCCGTCCAAGCGCTGCCGCTCAGCAAGATTCCGTCCAAACTTAGAGCACTGAGAGCACCAATACGCCACGGGCAAGACCCCGAGATGTCATGCAGCAGCAGCAAGACCAGAGACGTCGTGCGACCAGGACCTGCGACCCAAGCCCACGTTTGAGCTGGACTGGCCAGAACCAGACCAGCGCATGCCGCCGCCAGCGTTGCGCGACGCGAAGAAACGGGCCCTACGCGAGATGGCATAGCGACACTACGCGGTGGCTTACGCAGGCTACCAGCGCAGCACGCTGCATTGCGCGACCCTACGCGGGGAGTTTAAGCGTCAATGTCGACGCAGTCGACCCCATTTTTTGTGTCGCTAAGATCTGTAGAATTGTGTGCCGAACCCATGTCACTGCCCACCGCCGACCAGAGGCGCGGTCAGCCGAGAAGCGCGGGGAGGCAGGAACGCCCATTCCGACCATCTCGCCTAACACAGCTGCCTCGGTGCCCTCGCTCGAGGTCCTGGGGCGGGGTCAAGGTCTAGGGGTGGGGCCCTAGTCGAGCCGTTGGGATGTCCCGCCCCCGCCGACCTCTGGCCCAAAGTGGCCACCTTGTTTTTGGAAGAGCTGTCTCTTAGGCTTTACGCCCCCGGCATGTCATTCCATCTCGCATGATACGCCGGTCTGGCCCTCGCCTGCTGTGCTGAGCCTACAGACGCCACCCAGCAGGGCCTCGAAAATGAGAATCAAATGCACTCTCCGTGGCATTGGGATCTCTAGGGGACAACGTTGCGGGTCACGGCCCAAAGAGCCTGCGCAAAAAAATGCATGTTGACCACTCGCATGGCATCGACGGCACGGCGCTAGATCCACTCGCCCCACCACTGATGCGGTCAAGTCTCTATACATGAGGTCGAATCATCCGTTATTTGTTCAATGTCCCTCGTCTCCCCCGCAGCTGGATACGCTCTTGTGTCTAACTCCCGTGCTTCTTTCCTGGAGGAGGCCTGACTAAGCCAGGGAAACAGGAGCTCTATATCGATAAATTAAATATCTCAAATCTTTCCAAGTTCGCCATCAACGAGTGGTCACCAGCAATATTCAACCAGTTGACGCGAGACAATCAGCTCATGGCCTCCCAGGTAGCAGTGCGAAAGCATAGCTGTGGGAAGGCCTGCGCCTGCGCCAAGGGAGGCGGTACAATTGGTCCAAAAGCGCTCGAACGCTGATCGCTCCAAAGCTTCAACGTGGCCTGTGGCCAACGGGAGGCCGCTGGACACGGAGTGTGCTCACTGCTGGCGCCAAGGTACAGGGGCAAGAAAGCGCCGAGCGCGACATGCCCGCGTACCAAATATCACGTGTACAACGATCGCGGGACCCAGAAATGTCATAACCATGTAGAGGCAGTGGTGGCGAGATAGCGGGATAGCGAGATGGTGGGGTCGCGGGGCAGCGGGATAGCGGGGCGACGGGGCGTGGCAGGAGAGCCTAAAATCGATTCGAGAAGTCGGATCGGCGATCGAAATTGATCGGATCGGAAGAGATCGGCAGCCACGGCGGGAAAAGACGAATCGGCGAAAATCGGCCGCTGAGTAGCGCCTCCACTGAGAAACTGAAACCAAAACGGGAATCCGAGGTCGAATAGAATCGGAATCGGATTGGATCGAAACCGAATCGAATCGAGTCGGAGGCCTGCCGTGGCGAGGTGCGGTACTCCAGCTTTCATACTAAAACGGGGGGATCACAAACCTCCCAGACGAGCAATCTTGGACCCCCACCCCAGACCAGCCAGGAAAAGGACGGCTTTTTGCCCAGACCACCAGGAACCCTCCAAAACAGCTCAAACCAAACCGCCCCAATCAGACCACCCCCTCTCTTATCGTGAAATCCGCAGGTGGCGCCGTCGACTCGGAGCGGTCCCATCTGCCCGTTCCCTGACGGCCCCAGGGCCCGAGAAGAGACGGCCCCCTAGCAGCCGAAAAACGGCCCAAAGACCTTCCGCCGCGATCTCCAACCCCACCCAGTCCTCACCGACGGGTCGACTTTCGGGCCGTAACTTGGGCCCCCAGCGGCCGTTCGAGACGATTCGGGCAACCTCCGAAAGCTCTCGGAGTGTCGCACGTGCTGCCAAGCATCACGGGGCGAGAAAGCATCCAAGAGCCCACGCAAACTTCTGAAAGCGTCCCCTCGCTGGCGTGACTCCCTGAGGCCGACCCCTTCCTGGAGACTGGCCCCCCCTCTGGATGTCTGTGGACAGACCGCCGCGCCCAACCACATGCATGAATACGGCCCCCCAGTCCGCGAGACCGGCCTCGTGCTACGAACATACGTGCAATGCGTGCCTCCGAAACCAACATGGGTTCATGCACGTGTACACCCTTCTTTCGCTCATGAATTTGGACGCTCGAGATTGGTAAAGAAAAAGTTGGACGATACCCAATAGAAAATGTTGCCCAAAGCCGACAGCGGCCGCTGTTGGGCAGGCGGCCTTCTGCTTCAAATGCACAGCGTCTGCGGCGACACCGACAGCGAGTTCTGCTCCAAACGAACATAAAATGCTGCCGGTCTTCGTACCCATTATTTCCGTAACTACGTAGTTCGATCGTACAGATGAAACCTTTTGGACGGTCCTGGGGCCCGGCGAGGGCCCCCACGGTGTGAAAATCTGCAATACAGCATTCCGTCGTGTTTTTTCGCAACAAGGGGGGACGGGGGGGGGCGTCTGGCGCACCAGGCTGCGAGTCGGGGATTTGTCAACACCCACCGCCTGGGAACCGATGACCTAAGACTCCAGGGGGCTTTGGACACGGACATACTTGGGCCCCCTGGAGCCCAAATACATCCAAATCCACCGCCTCCCGAGTTCCAGGAAGTCCAGATTCCCAGGCGGTGGGTGAACATGGATGAGTCCCAGCCTCGGACATGGGGCCCCCAACTCGCAGCTGCGCGCGGGAGGGATCGTGCGTAAAACAGCAGCGCTGGCCCCAGGAAGCCCGTGCTGCGCAATGACGCAGGGGGAGCAAAGGAACGAGAAGCAAGCAGGCCACGGCCGACGTGCACGACTGTCTCGCGACGAATGGGAGGCCTCGGAGCTGCTGGCGCACTAGAGGCCCTGAGATCCGACGCTGCGAAACAAATGCGCAGCATCGCGAAAGATCACGACCGGAGCCCCAGACCCGATCCTTCGGCGGCATCTCTCGAACCGGCTCGATCTGTGATGGCCGGGGGGCCCGAAGCCAGGCGAGAACGCAGTGCAAAAAAAAAACGCTCAGGTCTCGGGGGAGTCCGCTCGCTCAGACATCCGGCGTCTCGATGTTTCGACACGCGGGCCCCCGACCCCTCCACCACTTCCCCGGGGCCTGCTTTTTCGCTACGCGCTGCTCTTTGACTGCTCCGAGGCCCAGTGAGTGCCCCGAGAGGCCGAACACTCTGAAACGCCTTCGTCTCGAGTTGTTTTCGACACGCGGAACGTCCGGAACGCTTGGGTCTCAAATTGGCGGCGAGCGAGGGGGGAAGTGAGAAGGAGAAGGCCTTCTCAGCAGGCGGCGGGCCTTCTCAGAAGCCGTCGCGCCTTCTGACAGGGTCTGCGCCTTCGGGGAGGGCGCAGAAGACTTCTCAGAAGGCTCGGGGGGCTTCCGAGACTTCTGGGAAGGCCCGCCCCCCCTCCCCGTAGGGCGACGATATCTATACATATCCACTGCTCCCGGCCAGGCCAATCCTGGGCCCAAGAGCTGTGTATACGCCCTCCTGGCATGGCCAGGGAGGCATATACACCGCTCCTGGGCCCAGGATGGGCCTGGCCAGGAACAGTGGATATGCATAGATCTCATCGCCCTATCCCCGCCTCCCCCCCCGGGCCCGCCGCCGCCGATCCGGGGAGCCCCCGGGCTCACAGCTCGCCCCGCGCGCGCCCGCCGAGCGCGGACGCGCGCCCGGCGGCCCGCGCGCTGAGCCGCTCCGGCGGGGCGCCCGCGGCGGGCGGCCGGAGGGGGCTCGGCCACCGGGCCCCCCTCGGCGCGCGGGCCCCCCTCTCGGCGGGAACGCGCGAAGGCACGAGAGGAGGAGGGGGGGAGGAAGAGAGAGGAGAGGAGGAGAGAGAGGAGGAGGAGGAGGAGGAGGAGGAGAGGAGGAGGGGAGGACGGGGGGAGGAAGAGGAGGGAGGGGGAGGGGGAGGAGGGGAGAGGAGAAGAGGAGAGGAGGAGGAGGAGGAGGAGAGAGACGGCGGGGGGGCGGAAGGGGGGGGGGAGTGCCCTCGGAGGTCCCACGCGACCACAAGACGACGGGGTGTGGGGGTCCACCTGGGAAAAAGCCGAAGAGCTCCAGAGCGCGGCAGAGGGGTGGCGGAGGGCCTTCGAGGAGGGGGGAAGCAGGGGAGGGGGGGGAGGGAGGGAGGGGGAGGAGAAGGGGGAAGGGAGGGGGGGGAGGGCAGAGGGAGGGTGGAGGGTAGGGGGAGGAGGGCAGAGGCAGGGGAGGGGAAGGAGGGTGGAGGGTAGAGGGAGAAGGGTTTCGAGATTGTGCTACTCGGTAATGCCCTTACGTGCATCCACAAAGGGTGGAGGAAGGGCGTAGAAGGAGTGAGGGGGTGAGAGGGGATGTGGAGGGGGGAGGGGGGAAGGAGGGGGAGGATGCAAGGGGGAGGGGGAGGGGCAAGCTAGGTTCGCTCGCGCCATATCTGACATCTTGCCTCTCCAACCCATTCCTTTCCAGTGCGCATATTTTTCTCCGTCTAGGGGTTCGTGTCATAGCGCATGCGCAATCGAGAAAGGGGAGCTGCATACAAAGGAAGAGGAGGAGACGGAAAAGCAGGTGGCGGATGAGCACGGGGATGAGCATGAGAAGAAGGAGGAGGAGAAGGAGGACAACGACGACGACGACGATTTCAAACAGCAGTAGCGCGCACCAGAAGGAAGGAGCAGGAAGAGCAGGAATACCAGGGGAAGGCGGGGGGGAAGGCGGGGGGGAAAGGGGGGGCGGCAACGATGAAGACGCACCCAGGT